TTTATGCGATGTGAAATCCGAAAACATTTTTTTTAAATAAAATAATACTTTATTCCGAGTGTGCTTGCTTTTCTCTTTGAAAGTCATCACATAACGGCATTGTAATACACGGTTCGGCTGCATTAAAAATTACATATCTGCCGTAGTTCTCTATTTATAGAGCCCTGATGAGAAGACTTCTAGACAAACAGGAACAACTGCCACCAAAACTGAAAACGTGACGTGGATCTTAAGCAATTAAACAACATCTTACATTTCTTTTCACACAATACGTCTCCTTGCTACGGAAGAGGATTAGGGCCACATAAAAAAAATTAAAAAAAATTGTTTTGAGAAAAAAGTCAGAATTCTGACTTTAATCTCAGAATTCTGACTTTTTTCTCAGAACAAAAAAAAATGTTTTAATCCTCACAAAAAAATGTTTTATGTGGCCCTAATCCTCTTCCGTACCTTGCAGTATCAACACTACATTTTATATTTGATCCAATTATTAGATAGGCTGTATTTACACCATAACAGTGCACAGCTGATAGAAAGGGACACCTGGTGGTTAAAGCACGTTATTGGATTTTATTATTTGTATTATTAGATCCCTATAAAGTATATTCATTACTCGTTATTCTCTACTAATAGTTAATTAAAGACTGTATATAATGACTATTTTGCACATCCCTTTCAAGATTTCAAGATTTTCTAAGGTTTATTGACATATCATATTATACACAACTACGGTGTAGTTATGCAATGAATGAAAAACTTGGGTCACAGGTTCCTCAACAGTGCATTACAAGGCATCTATCAATATGTGTGTATACCTCCACCATTAAACTGTCATATTCTGCACATGTCTTATACTATCTACATACATCTTATAAGAGTATAATACATATGTATAATATCAGATAAAATAAGTGCTTCAACATAGCAATGTTAACTATGTTTAAGCACTTATTTTAACTGATATTATAAATAGAAAATCTTGAAAGGGATGTGCAAAATAGTCATTATATACAGTCTTTAATTAACTATTAGTAGAGAATAACGAGTAATGAATATACTTTATAGGGATCCTATTAATATCTAATAATACAAATAATAAAATTCAATAACATGCTTTAACCACTAGGTGTCCCTTTATATCAGCTGTGCACCTTTATGGTTTAAACACAGCCTATCTACCAATTGGATCAAATACAAAAGCCAGCCGAATTAGTGTTGATACTACAAGGAGACGTATTGTGTGAAAATAAATGTAAGATGTTGTTTAATTGCTTATATATTTAAGATCCACGTCACTTTTTCAGTTTTGGCGGCAGTTGTTCCTGTTTGTCTAGAAGTCTTCTCATCAGGGCTCTATAAATAGAGAACTACGGCAGATATGTAATATGTAATGCAGCCGAACCATGTATTACAATGCCATTATGTGATGACTTTCAAAGAGAAAAGCAAGCACACTCGGAATAAAGTATTATTTTATTTTTAAAAAATGTTTTCGGATTTCACATCGCATAAACCCCATTTCCCAGCGTGCATTGCAGCTAAACCATCCAATCAGCGAGCTGAGGATCTTGCCTACGTCTGTTTCCGGTATTGCTTATGACAGGTGTATTTTGTTGTACACACATTCCTTCACATTTACATTTTAATTTACATTAAAGTATTTCATGAGGCCTTCTAAAATGTTTTTAAATATAACTACGGTTCTAGTTGAAGAGTTTGTAAATTAACATGAACCGAAGCTGTTGCCTGGCAACACAATCGCACAACGTCACGTCCGTTAATTCCACAAACACACACATGGATTAACATCGATTGAATACATTAATGTATCCTTTGTTCCTGCTAAAAGAGGTGTCGACCAGCTGGGGCAACAAGAAAATGGGTGAAATCGAATGTGACTATTAAAAAATAAATCATTATTATATTAATATTGACAATAACAACCGACCGTCGGGGTAGCATTTGTTTGGCATTTCCGGGTATTTCTCCACTGGTTGGGCCATGTTAACAATACCGTGTAACTGTCACGTTTTAAGGGATGCAATCGTGACATCTTCACGTCTCCCAGCATGGTAAATCGTCACATGTTCACGTCTTACCGTGATACCGGGTTGCATGTAACAGTTTATATGCACTAATCAGTGAAACAGCATAGGAGTTCCCTCTAAATTGGTCTGGCAAACATGCTTTGATTCGTCGTCCATCCCGTCAGCGTCATCACTGCCATCACCGTCATCCTACACACACACACACACACACACACACACACACACACACCACACACACACACACACACACACACACACACACACACACACACACACACACACACACATACACACACACACGCACACACACACACACCACACACACACACACGCACACCAACACACTGCACATGGTCATGTCAACCATTTTAATTAACTTTCTAGCTGCTCAAATGCAAGTGCAAAAAAGGAGAGTCAACTTCATCGCACGCGATCAAATTATATAAGAATAATCACTCAGGCAAATTCGACTAACATTCATGTAAATCCACACAGTAGAGAACATGCAGTTGTAACAACTGTTGCAACCATCAGAAATGATTATTATGTTGCGTGTTGAATGGCAGAAAACATTCCAGATTTGTTTAGTTCATCTCCTGCTGTTACCTTAATGCAAAACTACACATCAACTCTGGGATCAACAGGTTTCTTCAATGTATTATTTCATTTTTTTTTTAATCAGTTTTATGATGTAGGGCTATAATATCTAGTTGTTTGTCCTGAAGCAGCAAAGTGTATTGCCCGTTTTGGCCTCTTGCCACTCAGTTGAGCCAGTTCACACTTCAATACACTCATCGTGATGAGCTGTCAGAACTATTACCATTTACAAAATGTAGCAATCGTACTGTGTTGCACTATAAAAATGAACTCTGGGTCAATTCTCAACCTTAGTGTTTCCCTAAAGAATGCAAACATCTAACAGTAATGCCATCTGAGTTTTAAAACTAGATTAACTGCTGTATAGCTTTTTTTTGCATGGTATGATGACTTTTGCTGTGGTGTAGGGAGGCTTAAAAATCACTTCATTACATTTGATATAGGCTTTCACACACCCACGCAGGTTTAAATGGTGACAATAGCTTTCTTACATATTATTTTAAATGGCTGTTTTAATTGAGTTTTACTTACTTTACGTTTTTTTTGCTTTAATGGCCAGCCAGCCTTTTAGCACACAAACCCCAGCTGTCTCCTGTCTCTTCTCATCTCCTCATCTCCTACCTCTCCTCTCTCTGAGACCAATACTCTTATGCCCTGAAGTCAGTAGACATTTCAAATGTACCAGAGCAGACAGTAGGCAGTGGATTATGCAAGAGAGCGTTTCTAGGTCTAATGAAACATTTCTACTTTTCTTCTTGCTTCTTTTCCAACACCACTTGTCTTTAACTATACATATGAACTACAGAGTTCTATGTTACTCAATCATTTATTGCCACTGCCCACTAGCTGCCTTTGCTGTCCTTGTCTCCACTGATTAGGCCAAAATGAGAGCAAACGAGCTTCTAGCTTTGGTTCAGATTAATATTAATGGACTTGCTTCCTGTCTCTTTACAGATTTGACTTGGTTTTACAGATGAAAATGGATGCCTGGTTATTTAATCAGTCTTGCTCTTGGTATTTAATAATTGAATTGCTCATGGGACAAGACAAAGTAAAGTTGACTCATATATATATTTAGTCACATATACACTATAAGGGTTTCCTTCAGCTACTATATGGAATGTTTTATGTTTAACTTCCTTTCATTATTTATAGTTTTAACAGGCTTTTACATAATTTAGTTATCGTTAGGAATACAGTACCAGGGCATGAGCATGTGCTTTACTTGTGGGAAATTCAGATAATGATGTTGAGCTGCATTCGAACAGGGAAAGGAACTGTTGTGGAGATACTCGGGACTTCTAGACTGGTTGTACTGAGCCAGTTGTGTGTAACTCTAAAGTACAAATACAACTGTTCAATGTTATGCCATGCTCTATTATCACAAGTGACGGGTCAAGAGCACACAAGTGGATCATTTAATAATAATAATAATTAAATGTAAAAAAGTGTGCTCTGGTACTTGTTAAAGTGTCAAAGCACAAACATATCTATGAATCACCCACTTCATCTGAAAACAGTGACAAAGAGGTGCTACTTGACGGTGTCATGGCAATTGACTTCCATTCATTCTCACCTGTAGAATCAAATGTTGCCACTGCATTTTGCTCTCTATATACAATATGCTAGTAAATGTGGGATATATAGATCCAGAAGCATCTAAGTCAGTAAGAAGTTGTAATTGCTAATTTACTGTAATTGCATTTACACACAAATTCAAGTAGGATATCAGAAACATCCTTAATTTACGGATTATCTCCATCTCTATCTTTTTTAAGTCAGTGAAGCAAAGGCCAATTATTCTTTGCTTTCCGCCAAGTGTACTTTGGTGACAAATGCAAACGTTATCATGCAGAGTGATTCATTAACTGGACTGCACATGATCCAGATTGGACATGATTATAAACATACATATTTCATTTCAAACCTTTATTTATACAGATAAATCCCATTGAGATCATTGATCTCTTTTTCAAGGGAGACCTGCTCAAGTAGTTCCACATGAAACATAAAAACATAAATAGAACAACAAAAGGACATCATACGGCATAATTTACATAATTATCCACATAAACATGTACCAATAGCTTCCGATTGAGTAGCATCCAACCGAGCTTTAAAAACATTTAGTGGCACCAGATTGTTCAGTTTCCATTTTATTTGCAGACTATTCCAAGACAGAGGAGCTGCGCATCTAAAAGCTGTCTTCCCTAAGTCAGTCCTAGCAGTTGGCACATTTAATAAAACCACAGCATTCGATCTCAGGCAGTAGCCACTTACAATTTTCCGTGAGATCATATTTGATCATACCATTAACAATCCTCAGTAATTCCTGTGCTCTGTGCCCTGTTTTAGATGGCTACACTACAGATGACATTGAGTTCTACTGGCGGGGAGGAAACGGGGCTGTCACGGGGGTGGACAGGATCGAACTGCCCCAGTTTGACATTGTGGATCATAATCTAATCTCCAAGAATGTCGTCTTCTCCACAGGTAATGGTGACAAAAAGGTTGAAATGCATGAATCAAAGTTGATAAAGCAATAATCCAAATGTGGTATAACGTAATGCAATCCTACGTTCTTATTCTCAAAATCCATATTATCTACAAGCATGTATGAAAAATGTGTTTAGATACACACACACGTACGTTTTTATTTACTCCTATTATAAAACACCCTTTGGTTGTATTCAGTTTCTGTTATTCTTATTTCGTTTAATTATCACTATGCTGCTGCAAAACATATTGAAATTCATAAATATTGAATTTCTCACTTATTGATATGAAAAATAGCATATACTTATTTCCCGAAATGCAGACTGTTATGTAAATGAACACATATACAAACCTCTGAATGAAGTGCAGTCGTGGGAGAGGGAAGACACTATGACTTATTTAACAGCAATAAACAAAAATAATGCTGTCTGATACAATATTCATCTCTTCTGCATTTTCATATTCGTGAATTTTGTCATGCAAGCAAGCAATTGTAAGCGGGACAGGCGTTCTGCTGAATACAGTTTCTAGGTACTGTACAGAATGGGAGCAGAACACTAAAGCAATAAGATCGTAGAGTCTCAACCAATGAGAGGGCTTGTTTTGTCCACGGGGTCACACATTCCACGCAACCCTATTAATAACATAATGCTTTCTGATGAATGCACAATGTTCTTATGCGTGTCTGATTTGTTGTTATCAACCTAAGTGTTTCCATGCATGGAAACACTTATTGCCTCATTCCGAGATATGGTGGATGGGGATTCCCTTTTTAACGTGCTGTCTATTACAGTATGGAGTATATGACCTGTGGGGAACCCAGAGTTGCTGACATCAGCACAAGTCCATGGGCATTTACCCAATACAAGTGTCATGTCCAAGGATAGACAATGATATTGTTGCCCTTTTGAATAATAGATATTCCCTGCTGTACCTCTGTCATGTCATTTCCTGCCCAAGCTATTCCCTCACTCCATAAAGAAATTATTCAAGGATTCTCTCGGTGGCTCATGCACACATTAACTAAAAGAAACAGAAAATCCAAGTGGTGACATTCAAAGAAGAGCTGAGGATGGTGGGTTGTTGCTGCTTTCATTAAAAAGCACAATCTTCCTCCCCCAACCATGACTCTCCAATGGAGTTGATATTGCTCTGTTTTCCAGCCCTGTAGTGCCGTTACTTTGTGGTTGTAATGCAACTTAAAACCAAATACAGCCAATTCCCTCAGGAAGAAAGGACGTGTTCTGATAACAGTTGTCCTTTACCAAAACCCCAGCTGAAGGTTTATTTCAAATAGAGCAGGATAAGCAAAAATAAAAGGATCCTCGATAGAAAAACCATCAAACTTCTTGCAATATTTTGTATAACCACAGGAATTGGAGAGCAGGTAAATCAGGAGAGTGCTCTAGTTCAGAGACAACAAATAAAGCATTTTACTGGGTTGCTTCTGCAATGGACACTCAGGTCAGAGAGACTTATAAATAACTTGGAGGAAGAACTGATAGAGGAGAACCATCTATATTGAAAATGCCTTCACAACAAGGTTAGAAATCAAACTGTTATTTTGCTCTTGTATCAACCCAAAGTGCTAAACATTTACTGGTTTCTGCTTTTCAGTAAATATCTTCGATTTCATTGTTTTGACCAGGGAAATTGTAGATTGAATAACCCATCCCCCAACAAAATAAATGATTACAATATTTACTTTTGAATATTTAAACTTCTGCTTGATTTTTTCCACTTCCCATCCCCTCTCTGCAGGTTCTTACCCTCGTCTGTCCCTGAGTTTTAAGCTGAAGAGAAACATTGGGTACTTCATCCTGCAGACATACATGCCTTCCATACTTATCACCATCCTCTCTTGGGTCTCCTTCTGGATCAACTATGACGCCTCTGCTGCCAGAGTGGCTCTAGGTGAGGCCTGCAATACAAATATAGACATATTGTCAGGTGTTGGGGTGGAAGATTGCCCTGGTCTGTTATAGATGGGTCAGTGACAGTTACACATTACTTTTATGTGATATTTTTCCCTTCTTTACATCATCACATTCATACAATTCACCTGAAGTGCAATGCGGGACAAGAAAGGCACATTTCACACTATCTCCGGCAAGAAACCAGTGTCAAACATAAACATTGAAAATTCAGACAAGGGTTTATAGTCTTTATAAAATACTGCCTTTTTCCGACACAAATCTAAAACTACAGATGAACTGATCAGTGCGGTGAAAGCCTTGAATTGTACGTATTGTATAAATGATGCATCTTGTATTTTATATTTCTCATTTTTTTTTAATACATGATCTTTAAACCTTCAGTAAAGAATAGCACTGCACCGATCCACAAACACACTTTGTTTCACTCCTTTTACAGTAACTGTGTGTTCAGGGTCAAATAACCATTCCCAGTACCACAAATGTAACTGTTCCTCTCACACGTATTATGATGGATGACCAGTTTGAGTTGTTTTCACTCTTATTTCAGAGCCCCTGTGCTCTTCTGGAAGTCACCATTTTCCCCCGTCATCCTCAATTATGTAAACCCTGTGTAGCCTGCGAGGTTCGTATTGAGCTTCTAGCTTACTCTGTGTGTATCGGAAGCTCCCTGGCTTCTTTTCACCCTACCCCATCCACCCAGCTTCATCCATCTACCCATCCCTAGCTTTAGTCGACAAGGCAATTTTGCTGATTGACGACTGAGCTGCATTTAGTGATCCAGGGGAAGGCATGCATGGGATTTAATGAAAAAAAAGGTAATGCTCCATAATGGAGGCGGGTCAACAGAGTTGCGAAATATAAGGTCGGCCTCCAATCTACACTAGATTCAGGCACCACTTTACCCTGACCTGGTTTCAAGCATTAAAGAGGACCTGTAATGGCTGAAACACATGGCCACTGTGTTGCAGGAATCCTTTGTTGTTATTGTTAAGCTTCTGCATCAACAGCTTGGGAAAATTGCCTGAATCCTATTTTGAGCAGTGGTCACCTGACAGCTTTGTGACAGCTGTAAAATAATTCAGTAATTGTTTAATGAGACTCTCAATTGAAATTGCCTTAAATAATCATGCTTTGTGTGCTTTAACAGTAGAATATACAGGTGCGTGTTGGGGGATTTGTGAGCGCCATAGGAGCAGAGAATGCAATTATTTAATCATGCAAGGTAAATCACATTGAGGCTTAAGAATCATGGCTTTCATGCCAGTTATAATTCCTGCATATAGATAATACCTTAGACACACACTATGGTAGGCACATTACATCGAAGAGGCTGTGCTTTGCTAAAACAGCAGGAATATGAAATGATATCACTGTTTCCATATCACTCATAATAAGCAGAAACGTATCCCATTGATATTCACAGTCAATTTGAGAGAAACTATCTGCACAGCTTGCTGGGCGAGGTTTTGAAAACTGACTACAACTTTTCTCAGTTGGAATTCTCTGCTAATGAACAAGACCAAGGTTGACATTTTAATTTGAAATCGCTGCAGCACTTTAGGTGTGCCTCTTTTAGCTTGTCTCCCGATGCATGGTTTGAAGTCATGGTGGTAAGCCTTTCGGGTTTATTGACCCTGGCAGGCTTAATCGAGCACAGACATGGTATCATGTGGATCAAAAAGATGTTGTGTGGTGGGAAGGATTAAGTCCGTCACACACTCAGAAGAGAACAGTATGTACAAGTTTCAGGTGATTGCTATCAATAAGAAAAATAGTATATGTGTCTGTGGATTACATAATTACAGCATAATTTCAACTGTTTTTAACACAATATATGTTGTTTTCGACATTGAGTTATTCATACAGTATCTATAACGATGATTAGATGTGATGCAATGCATTTGTCTTTCTCTTTTAGGAATTACCACTGTGCTCACCATGACCACCATTAACACCCATTTGAGAGAAACCCTCCCCAAAATCCCCTATGTCAAGGCTATCGACATGTACCTCATGGGCTGCTTCGTCTTCGTCTTCATGGCTCTGCTGGAGTATGCGCTGGTAAACTACATCTTCTTTGGACGGGGCCCTCAACGTCAGAAAAGAGCAGCTGAGAAACTAAGTGTAGCCAACAACGAAAAGATGAGGATGGATCCAAACAAGGTATATTAGCTTGCCTCTTTAGTTTGTTGACCTATTTTTTAATAAAACTCAAATTCTGCATACATAGAGGAAAGCACAATCTCTAGATGAGCTTCCACAAGTTACATTCTATTTCTCAAGTGAACGCTTTTCTTTTTCTTTGCTCTAGATTTACAAAATTACACATTTTCTTTACTTTGCAATGAAATTGTATCTTAATTATTAATGGAGCTGTCTGGGGAGCTCAACATAATTACTAGAACATAAAAGAAGTGTCAACACATGAAATGGAGGGTTGACCTAATGTTTCCTGCCTTCACTTTGCCAAGGGAAGCCATCGTAATAAACTTGTACTAGCAATGATTCAAATCCAAATGAGACATGTTGCCAGCTGAAACGTTGGGAAAGGAGGTCTCAGGGCCACTTGGCTCTTTGTTTTGATGGAAGTTAGTTGCATTCACTTACTCAGACTTTTCTCCCAGATGACATGAACCAAATGCCTACGAGCAGAGATACAACATGGATAACCAAGATAACATGGCTGCGAATGGACCTGCTGATTATAAGTCTATGGTTGGATGAATGTCCTGTAATATCAAGTGAAGTGTAAAACAATTATGTTTCCTTTCAGTGGTTGGTGGGGAATGTAGTTGGCAGAGATGATACTCTGTATGCAAGAATGAAACAAAGGGATCTTGATGGTCATGACTCGATGTGGGAACCAATCTTTGTGGATGACGCAGCAATGGGACTTGGCGATCAAAGGAATAAGGTACTGCAAAAGCCTTAAATGGTGTTGAAATGCTACTATTCAATAACATTAAGACTTTTTGACCAATTGCCTGCAGCACAACAAGATGTTGATAATGAGTAACCAAACATTTGGCTGTGTACACAACAAGCCGATTTAGTATTTAATTTGTGTTGTTATGGGCAATCGCACAAGAAAACACAACTCCAAATAAAAGGCCCATCTGGTGTGGTGTGGTCGCACATTTGTAGGAATAGATATTTAAATGAAATGTTAGTACTTCATTGTTTAACATTGTGTATATGTGTTTTATCAGATAATAAATATTGTTACATGATATCAATAAACTAGACAAACTTAATTATTTTTTCCAGATGGACCCACATGAAAACATTCTTTTGGGCACCCTGGACATCAAAAATGACATGGGCGTTACCGAGCTGGCACTGGGTCTCAATGACCCAAGAAATACTATGCTGACATACGACAGCTCAACTCTACAGTACCGCAAAACAGGGCTGGCCAGGCACAACTATGGCAGAAACACGCTGGAGTGCCACATGACTCAAAAGAAGAGCCGACTACGGAGGCGCGCTTCTCAGCTAAAAATCAACATCCCAGACTTGACTGATGTAAACTCTATTGACAAGTGGTCGAGGGTGATCTTCCCAACTGTCTTCACCTTCTTCAACGTTGTTTACTGGCTTTATTATGTCAATTAAAGGGGAAAAAGGACATCAGTGAAGGCAAGAACAAACAACAAAATACTTAGGTCATTTGTTGTTTGTTTCTGGTTTGTTTCATTTGTATGTGATCTTTAATACTGGACTGAAATACTATATTCAGGACTGGATCCATCATAACTTGGAATACTGCGTTTGCTGGCTAACACGTGAAAACCTTATAGAAGAGAGATTACAAACATATAAGGTGCCTGTTCCTGATTATTTGTTTAAATTTTACACGTTTGGGAAATTTGTATGTTCACACTTTTTTTAAATGTTTGTTTGCATATTGTTTACGTTTTTATTACTTTGAATTTATAGAATACATCATTCATTGCCAAAATATCATATCATTCAGATTCAAAAATGACAAGATGACATATCTAAAGGATTTGTTTACTTTCACTGAAACTACTCAAAAAGTGCTGGAGCAAATTAACGTCAGTAGGGTTTTCTAAGGTTATTTGTGTCAATTTACTCAAACTAATTTTCCTATTAATATTACAAGGGCCTGATGTTCACAATTTACAATATCATGTAATGTAAAATATATTTTGGATCAAACATTTTCTACTTTCTACTAATAAACTGGCAGCCCTGTATCATTTATTTCTAAGTATTTTCTCAGTTCATAGACCATTTAAATAGGGTAACAATAAGAAATATCAACTAAGAACATTCCAAAACGTCCAGGTTTGAACTCAATTGCACTCAAAAGCCTGTTGAAAGTCAAAAATGTTATAATGTAAATAAGCATAAAGCTAATACAGCCAATGTGGATTGTCATTAGTTTGTCTGTCCACTCTGTCCATTGGAAGAGAGTAAAGAACAGAAGGAGAGAAACAAATGTAGTAAAGGAATCTAATGTTTGTGTTTAGCCAAATTGGATTTACATATATATTATTATAATCAAAATGTTGACCTTCACCTCAAAGTCCATTCACACAGTATGGATGTCTTTGGGGATGATTTGTCTAAAGAAAGTAGTTTAGTCTATAACTGTGTATGTAAACATCACCTGTATACCTTTTAGTATATCTATAATAAGACCAAAAATTGTCTGACTTCAGCTTTCTATTCCCATTTTCTTGGAAACATATTTACCAACTGAGAAGAAAATGTCCTCAAATGACGAAAAGGCACTTTCTCGGTTCAAGAAGAACACGGATGGTAAAGCTTAAAACTGACGCCATTGATCCTGCCAGAAGGCAAAAAAGCACAAATATCAGCTTTTAAGACAATATTTAAATATCATGTTTTTATGCTAGGTTTTTCGTTTTGTTGCCAATGAGTTTATATATGTATCTGCCTCCAAAGCTAACATATTATAATCACAATTTAAAACCAATAAGTCATTTTTTCCAGATTGAAAATGGGTTGATGATCGTAGAGGTCATAGCCTTTAGTCCACATTCAACAGGTAATTACAGATTATTTACCAATGATGCTGTGCTTTTGACGTTGTGGACACAATGAAGATTTTATAAAGGATTTTGCACACAAGTTCTTAAAAGCCATAGAGGCTGTACCTAGTTCTTCACATACCTGGTGCTTATGTGGGCTATCTTAAAAGGAACTTTATTATTATGACTACAATCACACTTGTTTCAGTTCCAACAAAGTTTAAATGTAGGAAAACACGACTAGGGCTGCGATAAAGAGTGTACCATCCCTCTTCCCATTGATTTTCCACACTGCCCGTATGAATAATTCTGCTGTTATAGCCTCTTTTATTGCATATAAGTAGAGTCAATAGATTTAAGGAAAATAGGAAACTTCAAACATATTTCAAAGTTAAATTGAAATGATAGGAACAAGAGCTTTTGCATTGTTTGTCTCAAGTGCTTCTTTCGAGTTCACCTAAAACAACAAAGTTCTCACTCAAAGGATGAATATTTACTTGTATGCCATTCATTTTGATTGTGATGGTTTGAGTAAACACTTTGAACATTTATATTGTAATTGTTTACTTAAAATGTAGCCACATACAGTTATGTCTCACTGCATGATCTGTAAAGTAGTAACTCTTTGATATTCTGTTTTTATCTCACTTTCTCCTTTTCTCACTGAACTGTTTCATTTAATTTGTGCTTTTTGAGTTTAATTGAACTCGCAAATGAGCATACATGATTCTGTGATTGCAATTTATAAAAAGTATGTCTAATGGATATTTCAAATATTGATGATGGTATAAAAGATATTTACATTTTTCTAATAAGCATTTACAGCAGAAACTGTTTTAAGAATAACACAATAATGCATTTTTACAAGCACTGCCCAACAACTCCAATGGAAACTTTGATTAAACAGTGTGCATAGTTTTAACCTACATTAACCTCACTGGTGTTTACATGTCATCCAAATGAACCATTTTCACATTGTGTTGATCTAGGAATTGAAATCTGCGCATTGTGTGTAAATTATAAAGTCTCGTTTTGGGAGTTGTTTAATTGTTCTGGTGATTATGTCAAACTAAATTATTCTGACCTTTTTTTGTTTTTATTTTGTAATTAAGTAGAATGTGCGAAGAGATCCTTATAGATTATCGAATAGTCACCTTATTATTGGCATTGTGCATTGTTCTATATTTGAGGATGAATTGAACTCAAATGAGCATATTTAGATAAGTATGTATATATCAGATAGTATATTATTAATCCTCAATTGGATAATATTATTCCTGTAAATAAATACCTATGAGCTTTCAACATAAAGGAGAAAACAGACATTTGAAATATAATTTATACTGTAACGTTAAGAGAATGAAAAAGGCTGATGTGAAACAATGTAAATAGTCTATTTTGCAGTGTCACATGATCACTTTTTTCTTTGCTTTTTTTTCTCTATTTGTTAAAGCACATACCTTTGGGTTTGCCAAAATGTAACATATATTCATGAATGTAGTTGATATTCTTTTGCAGCATGTATTTGCTGTAATGTGTCAGCAAAAGTTTTACAATTTATTGTACCAATGATCAGCTAAATAACGCATAATGTACACCACCGTTTCAAACTAACAAACTAACACGCACACACACACACACACTAAGGGTCGAGTGATAAGGAGGCTAGAAATACCTTTGGATTAGCCCGAAAGTAAACCATCTCAGGACAGCACAATTCACACTACAAACAACACACAAAAACAAACTACAACTTCCTGCATTGTACTTAAGAAAAAGTACCTTAGTGAGCTTGTTTCAGATGTAATGTGTTTGCTTCCTCTGTTTGACAACATTCCTATATTACCAGATGCAATACACTTTTACACTTCTGACAGTATCCAACATATTTTCACCATTGGCAGAATCTAAGGACCTTAGAAATAAGTCATTAATGTATTAAATTAACCTTAGCCATAAACATGTCTCAACCCGAAATGAATATATTTCTTATTTTCAGAAAAACTACTGTATGTGGTATGACATGGTGTGTTTGAGTGTGAGAGTGTGTAGTGGATGTGTGTTTGCCAGACAGGCATGCGTTTCCACCGGCTACTGCCAAGAAAAGTCTGCTTCATGAGTTCTACACTTTGAATATGTGTTTGTTCTTCACAGCGCTTTTTTCGTTTCATATATTTTTATACTTCTATACTCCTGTGTAAAAAAACAACTGCAAACACTGTTGTTTCGCAAAACCTTGTAAATCCAATTTTGGCAATTTTCACATTTATATGATGATTATATTGTCCTCTAGGGGTTCTGAAAACCTAATGACATATATGCTTACAAAATCCTGTCATGATCCCATGTATAAAGTAAAACTAAATACATTATGGTTTAAAAATTGCTTTTTTTTCTCTTCATTCCTGGAAAGTTAAGGTTTTTGGGAATGCAAGGTTTTCATCAGAGAGCAGAGTCTTCTCTTGGGACAGACTGACATCCTAAAAGCCTAAATGACACATCTTGGTGACAGTGTATGTTTGCACACACTCACAGAAGAAGCCTTAGCCTCATGCTACCCTGGATTAAACTCCAAGGAGCATCAATCCTTTTTACCCTCTCAACACCCTCCACCTTGAACAATCCCTGTATGTGCCACTCACGAGAACATTCCCAGAAACCCAGAGCTGTACCCTTCTCAAAGATAAGCCCTGTGAAAGTCAGTGTCTGTCTTTACTATGAAAAACCTAATGAATACATTGTCAATAAATATTGTATACAGTTCTAATTCAGTGTGTTTATTGTAACCCTGAGTCGGGGGAAGAGAAACAATTGAGTGAGATAAATTACATTCTTTGTTGAGACAAAATAAGAAAAAAAATATATATTATATAAGTAGTTTATGGGGCAGGTAAGATCATTTTGTAATCAACATTTGTTGCTCACAAAAAAACCTAATGAGATCAGAACCAGGTTAACATACAGTATATGTTATCATGCTAGAACAACTCCAAATACCATCATTCATTTTGATAATTTCAAAGTCTGTCCTGACATTTATTTGAGCTGGAACCATTTAAAAGCAACCTGGCTTCATTCCAAGAGCGTCAAAAAGTGATGTTCACAGATATATGAGACGCTCAGAGCAAGTGCTTTGTGAATTTGGTGTCATTATGTAACTTATTTGACCTTAGGACTTTCACCCAGTAGATGGCTGTTTGTGTCCCATGTGAAACTAAAGTTAATTCATTTATTTCAACACAAAACATGATATTTTTCTAAACCTAATTCAGTGTCTTTTTGTTAGTTTTAGTGTTACTGGAACGTTACTTAGTGGTTTTGTTTGAATTCATGAAATTGTTACTGTGGACATGGTTTGAATCGGGCTACACAGTGCGTTGAAAATCAAGGAAAGGGATATTGTGCGTCAATGTAGGACGAAATGTGTTATTTTCCCCCTCAAATGTTCAATATTCTGGGAGAAAAAGTTAACAAAATCAAACCAGACTATTTTAATTGACCAAATGTGTTTGTGCAGATGCTGATTTGTGGATTTAATGTTGGCCGAAGTTTGCTTGATTCTCAATTAACCAAAGCACATTATATTCAAGGTCACTTCTCCCACTTGCTGGCAATAAGCAGCTACATTTTCCAAGCCACTGCTCAGGCATTTGCATTTTAATTTCAAGGCTTCACATAATACAGATCAGTACACATTAAATTGTTTAGGTAAATAATGCCTGTCTGTTGCTACAAGATGTTGGTACTCCTAGAGTAGTGTTATATCAGCACATTTCAACCAATAGCCCTCTCTCATTGGCTGTTGTTTCTCCTTCCAGTCCATAAATGGGATGTATTAACATTACATCAAATACTTTAATTTGTTACTTCCATTATCACACAGCTTTTAAATATGTGTTTTATTTGTAAGATATCACAATTAGTGCAATACACAAGGAAGCAATACAAAAGTGGTAACTTGTGTAAAGTAGTTTTATCCCTGCACAAATTTTCTTTGCTGCAGTATTTATTTATTATCTTTGGTCAAAATGGCATCTTACCAAATACTCAGCCCTGTGTAAACAATAAATTATAATCAAAATAACTTGTTGCCTTTGTATGATACAACAAGTGTGACTACGGACTTCAACCAAAGGCCGAACAGCTTGTGCACTTTTGCAGAAAAGGGCTGTCAAAGGAGAAGTGTAGCTTCGAGCAGAACATGGTTTTGGCTGTGAACAAGGAGGCTTGTCAGAGTCTCCGGGAGGTTTTAAATTAGCAAAGATTCTAGGCAGTCTGGTTTGTTAAATCTGTAGAATATAATAAAACTGCTGCTGCCTTTTCAAAGTCTCAAGATGTAACAGATGCCTCTTTTCAATTCACGTCTACTCCACTCCGTGCACCCAGAGTTCATTTGGTGGTTTATTTCCCCATGAGAACATTTACATACCAAACTTAAGGAGTTTCATGTTAACACTTTAATCATCTAAGGGATATTGGAGCCAAATGTGAAATTGGTCCAACAACAAGTGCAGCCTCGTCTATTTTTCTCTTTTGCTTTAGACCAACATACAGTTTAATCAAGCTACTATACAAACAGGAGCTTTTATTACATCGATTTAAAAGTATATCCAAGGATATAAGAGGTCCTTTTATATTTATTAAGAAGTTTCATAGATTAAAACATAGTTGATTCAACAATATTTTCGGTTTAAGATCTTAGTATATCTGAATATAAAATAGACAAAAACTATACCAATACATGAAACATGATGTTGTCATAATAATACATTGAGTTAAATATCGCCAAATGACAAATGGATTGGCCCTCTAAATGTCTTACTCATGCTAAGGCCTCCTCCCTCCTAGTCATGTAGACAAGATTATAGATTCCTTTTATGACAAATGAGAATGTTGCATCACCATGAACTAACTCAAAAGGTATGATCTACAACTAGGTTTTTCTTACTGTGGTTCAAAATGTGCTTCTGCCATGAAGCTGTTAATGAGAGAATGTGGTTTCTGGAAGACAGCTGTCACCAAGAACTGTGCTTATAAGAGACAGCGCTACACAACAGCACACTTTAAAATATCTGACAGAATTCTGCTTCTAAAGAATTTGGGATGAATGAGATGCCATAAAAAGAAAAACTGCAGTGCCTTTGGGCAAAGCAATGAAACGGTCCAAAGCTCCAGTGGAAGCTGTTTGTTGGCAGAAATTGTGCAATCTCCAGCTCATAATGTGCTCGTTCAAAATTCAAATGTACCACAGTATAAGCCAGTTTAATCAGAAGAATCTGCATCCCATGGCAACAGTGATCCTTTCAAATGTGCATTGCCTTTTGTATACTAGCACAGCGTGATGCTGAATTTGAAACCGAGCTACAGCGGTGTAAATAGAGCTCTGGTGGCTCTGGATAGGAAATGAGTCATGACACAGAACTGTAGGCAGTCCTGGCATAACAAAAAATACATTAAAGCGGCAAAATTATTCCATTCAACTTGCACCCACAACACCCATTTTGGTCATCACCCACTGCCTGTAGTGTGTGTCTGTTGCATAACCCACATCGTCATTTTTTTATAATCCGGTGTTTCAGATTAAAGTAACAAAGAAAAGCAGTGCTTGTTCAGCCAAGATATTTAACCAGCTTTGTTGTGGAAGGTGAGTCACCGAGGGACACTTGTAATAAAAAGCATGACATTGTGAAAAATTGCATCTGAAGCAATTAATAGAGCTGAGACACCGGAAGTGTGCTCAAGTGCAAATAAAAAGGCTGCTTTCTATGTCAAAAAAAACCTGTGAAATTGATGTTTGGCATGGAAAAATTTGCTCTGGAAAACTGACACATAAGTGTTGTACTTTCAAATGCAGTGGATTTAGCCAAATGTAGCCTCCATGGACTCAAACACACAGCTAAATTCATTAGAGAACCAGTGCCTTTAATTGCAGAAACAAAGTTAAATACACTTCAAATAGTTTCTAGTTTCCCACAAATAATATAAGTATGAAGACCCTTTTGTCTGGGGAAATATCCTGAGTTGGTCATGGTTGGTCAGGTGGACATGTTTTATGGGGATCATAAACCCTACATGTCTCTTAAAAGATAGTCAGTGCCTTAAAATGTGATTGGTCTCTTAATGCTGCCATTGATGTTGGTCTAGTCTTTGCTGATAGTCTGTTTTTGATTTTATTTGATCTCTTTTGCTTTTAAAATCTGCTGACACTTTGAGGGAATGTATGTGGTAAAAACCTTGCAAGCTTCAATGGTGGAGTGTGTTCCTCTCTCCCCTGCTTGTACTTGTCCCCTCCCACAATGCACTAATCAGGTGTGCTGATCCCAACAGGTGCGAGAGAGTGTGGCCGGGGGGGCGTGGCCAAGGAAATGTTTTGGGAGGGAATTTCAGGTTGCGGTCGAAGACTGCGTCTCAGGTCGACTATTTTCATTTCCTCGGTCGTCGGTCCTCTGTATCACCGGAAGAGTCCCCCCTTTTATTCATTTATTGGAAACATTTTCATGATCACTTTTTTCGTTTAGGCTATACATTTTAAGAATGGCATTTATCTTTTTTGAGGATGAGTTCTTATTTTATTTTATTTATTTGGGTCTACAACAGATGATACAAATGTATTCTTTCACACACACTTACGAGTATTGGGCCGAGGGCGACACCGTACTTCCGGTATCCGCCGTTTTACGCGAGGTGCAAGCAGCCGTACACCGTCTGTGTTGCTAAGCTTCATGTACTGAATATCATAGTCTATTGCCTTAATCAATATCTAGTCAACTCTAAAATACCACATATATGCGTTGGCATGATAATATTATTGTGATAAGTGGGGTATTCACCTGGTGTTTCCAGAAGATAGACGTAGATGCTGCCAAAATCGACGAAGGCCACTGTCATTTTTCCATACATCTGCAGGCAGTCTGTAAGGGCAATCCGACAACCCACACAGCTCTAGTTTACGCTGGTAACGACCTAGAGCACACCCCTCAAGTCTAGAGATGTAATCCGAAGACATGCAGCGATTTCTTCGGGTCGTTATTCAGAAAAAAAAACCTAGTGCGCTCTGCCTGGCTACGTTAGCTAGCTGTTTATATTTGCACTTCCAGGATATTTGCACCTCCAGGAAAATGGCGTATTTATATATATATATGGCGCGTGTTGCATTGTGGGTAGCTCGTGACGTCACTGTGTGTGAAAGAATATGTCAGTAAATGTGTAGTAACAGAGGCGGGGTGTTTGTGAAAACAACAGGGACAGAGCTGCTGTCAGACATCAGCTGTGCGGTGTCATCACAAACGGACGTCGCTTCACGTGACGCTTCGGACTGAGGAAAGGACGTCCCATTGCTCTTAAAACTCATTTCCCTGCTTCTCGTGGTTTCCTTGCGTCTCTCCATGCTTCCCTGGTGGGAGGGACTAAACGCAGGGAAACGACGCAAGTGAGGGACGCAAGGATTCCATTTAATCGACTTGAAATGCAGCCGAATAGTCTAAAAATATAATTTTGCTAAGGAACCTTCCTAACGGAGTGAAATCACACGGAAGTACCTCAGTGGCAGCCATGATAAGTGCCATTCAAATTCTCTAAATGATTTGAATGGCTTTGTTTTGAACGTTCATCAGTATTATAATCAAAAAGAGAAATATGAATGTACGTTTTTACTGAAATTATCAAATAAACTCAACATTTCACAGTGTTTACTGAGCTGTGTGGGGTTTGTTCAACTTTTAAAAGATGTTTTAATAATGGTGATATACACAGTGATAGATGTTAAGG